ACACATACACACACATACACACACACACACACACACACACACACCATGGCACCAATGTGCCCACCTCATCCCTACTGCCAGTAAACAAATAAATGTAATCTAAAATACTTTCCCAGCAAACAAAACAAAACTGCTTCTGGGAACTGTAATAAACTCAGTTGAACAAAATTGGTTTTCAAAGACAGTTTTGCTCCATTGGCTGGCTTTCTGGACACTCCTCTGTGACAGGCCTCCAGGTCCTTTGGAACACAATTGCCTGCTGCTCACTGGGCATCTGTGGTGGTTTGAAAGAAAATGGGCCCCATTGCAGGTGGCACTAATGGGGGGTGTGGCCTTGTGGAGGAAGTGGGTTGCTGTGGGGGTGGGCTTTGAGGTTTCCTATGCTCAAGCTACACCCAGTGAGACAGACTATTTCCTGTTGCCTGCAAGTCAAGATGTAGGGCTCTGGGCTCCTTCTCCAGCACCCACCGTGTCTGCCTGCACGCTGCCATGTCCCACCATGCTCACAATGGGTGGAACCTCTGGACCGTGAGTGAGCCACCACAATGAAATGCTTTCCTTTATAGGAGTAGCTGTGGTCATGGTGTCTCTTCCCAGCAATAGAACCCCTAATTCCCACCCCGACTCATCCATCTCTGCTGCCAGCCCTGACTTCTGCGGCTCCTGCAAGATCCAGACCCACTCATTTCAGGCTGGGGGTCTGGCTGTCTCTCCCCAGCCTGGGATGGTGATTCACCCTCAAGAAGCAAGGGTTTCCCTGACTCCCCTTACAAGGCTCACCCCTTCCCCACACTCTTTATTCCTTCACCTTTGCCCAAGGCTACCCACCTGTGCACATTTAGTTATCTCCTGGCTTGTAAATGATCTGTTTCCCACTTGCTATGGACTCCGGGCCTGCTGTACGTAAGGCTGAAGAGATGTCGGGTGGACGAACAGAGAACATGGTTTTATATTCTGCCATCCCTTACTTAAGAGTGCACCAGAAGAAGACCCTGATCTCTGAGCATCTGTCATCAAGGGCGAGTGCCCTAGTTAGATGCAGCTGTTAACTTGTGGGAGCCCAGAGTCAAAGAAGAAAGGGGTGTGATCACTGGCTGTTTGTGTTTTGGGTAACTAAACTTTTATTATTACTGGCAGGGGGCGTATGTGCCACAGAATACACGTGGGGGTCAGAGGACATCTTACAGGAGTCTGTCCTTTTCTCTCCACCACATGGGTCCCAGGGATTAAGCTCAGGACATTATGCTTGGTGGCACACACCTTTACCTGTGGAGCCATCTAAACCAGCCCTCCTAGTAAGATTTTAAAGATTCGGTCTACTTTTAATTATGCGTGTGTGTCTGTATGAGGTTATGTGCTCGTGAGTGCATGAGCTTGCAGAGGCCAGAAGAGGCCATCATGATGACCCCTGGAGCTGGAGTTACAGGCAGTCGGGAGCCACCTGACATGGGTGCTGGCAGCTCCAGTCCTCTGGAAGAGCAGTGTGTGGTACTTTTGTTTGTTTTTGGTTTTTCAAGACAGGATTTCTCTGTGTAGCCCTGGCTGGCCTCAAACTCACAGAGATCCACCTGCCTCTGCCTCCTGAATGCTGGGACAGGATTTCTCTGTGTAGTTCTGGCTGTCCTGGAACTCACTCTATACACCAGGCTAGCCTCGAACTCAGAGACCCGCCTACCTCTGCCTCTTGAGTGCTGGAATTAAAGGCCTGGGCTACCACCTGGCTGCAGTGTGTGATCTTAATGGTGTGAGTACCACGGAGTCTGTGCTAGGATTTCTACACTTACAATGTAAAGTTCATTTAGTAATTTAAATATACAGGTAAGGCACACTGTGTGGACACTCTTGCTGCTTTTCTCCCCTGGACAGCTAAAAAAAAAAAAAAAGACAACAGAGGAGTTTATATTTGTTTAATACTTGCATTGTTTCTATAGCGCAATTATAGCAATCTTTAAGTTTACTTTTCATTACAAATATTTGTCAAGTTTTATTTCAGAAACATTTTTCCTACTTTCTTGCACATGCGCCCAGACACACTACAAAAAATTCATTCATAACACATTAAGGGCAAACATTACTCATGTAAACATCTTCCATTAATTTCCCATAATTTAAAAAAATCATAGAATTATAGATATTTAATAAGGCTCATAGATTTAGTTCAAATTCCACAAAAGACCAAAGATGTTGTTGTTGTTGTTGTTTTGTTGATGTGGTTGTCTTTTGGATACAATCAAGGCCGAAAGCGTAACCCCTGGCTTCCATTCCATAAACATACCTCACAACCCAATAAATGCATTTTAGGATAGAAAGAACATAGAAAACCCAGGAGGAAGAACATTTGAAGAAGGGAGCTAAAAATCATGGACATAACTTCATAACTTTCTTATGCAACCACCAGGCACGACATACACAGTCCCTGTAGTTTCAAGAGAAATTCTAGTAACCGAGTAGGTAGAGGAGAATGCACCCGCTCAGTGTTCATATTGCTAGTGTACACAGTGAAAATTTGTCAGATTATTGTTTCATTGTATCCAGGGCCAAAGGTGGGTTGGGGAACGCACTCCAGTGGCTTATCATTGTAAGGGGGTTTTTGTTTTGTTTTGTTTTCCTTTCTAGTAACTCAAGCGTCAGAAGAATTGGGAGGTATGTCTTAGGTACATGAATGGTCTTCATATTAAAATGACATTTAACAACCGTGTAAAGTCACAGACAGGAATCAAGGGTTTCCATTATCCGCGGAAGTCTCCCTCTCTGGCTGAAGTTGGGTGCTTAGATGCATAGTCTTCCAGAGCTGAGACAGGATATGGACTGTGCTGAGGGTGGCCCCTGCCAGCGGCTGCCCTCCCTCTCTGGGAGAGGGAGGGCAGAAGGCAAAAAGCATTGGTAAATCTGTGAAGTCCCACCCTGGGGTCTGGACCCCAACTCCACTGAGGGTAGCCTCCCTGACATTGTGACTAGGCAGTTAGGGGTGGTAAGTGAAGGTGGCCGGGAAACCCAGTTCTGAGGTCCACACGGCCAAGTCTGGTTTCTGATTCTGCTGCCCTGCAAAGAAATTGTGCTCCTAGAACTGCACCAGTATCTCTAATGCCTCGATTCTCGCTCAGGCCCCCCAGGGGGCCTGCAGGGAATCACTAAAAGGTAAACACACCTCCATTAGCACCGAACTTACCACCAGAAAGCGGCTGAGGCACTGGGAAGCCTACCTGCATCAGACCCTACCCCGCCAGGAGGGGGGCGCCAGTCAGAGGGCTCTGTAGGCTTTTGATTTCTAAAAATGAAAACTGATCTGCATTATATCTCAATAGACTCAGATAATTCTCACCAAAAATTTTGTCGTGTGTTTAAATAGCACTGGAATAATTCAACTTCATTTAAATATATTCATTCTACCATGAAAATATTTCATACAAACATCTATTTACATACAAACACATTAAAATTTGTGAAAAGGGTTTCCACCCCTGTGGCTGTATGGCTTGAAATAGTTTCATTGCTTTGAATATGTATGCACACGTTTGGCAAATAAAACTTTTAAAATTTAGTATTATTGAAAACAACCCCCCCAAAAAACCAAAAAACCAAAAAACCCCAAACCAAACAAAAAACCCAACTCCCCCCCCCCAAAACTCTCCAAAACCAAAACAAAACAAAGAAAAAAAAAAAAAACTCCAAAAACAAAAACCCTGACACCAAGGCTTAAAATTTCTGAAGGGAAAAAAATCCAAGGTGTATGTTGAGGAATATATCAAGGTACCTCAAGTACCTGTAAATTGAATATATTTTGTGAACCTTTGATCTGCAGCAAATAAACATTACAACTATCCATCTTGCAACCTAGTTTCACTTGTTTGTCTAAAACAAAAGAAGTCAGGATTCTAAATCGCTACTCTGAAGACAGAACTTGGGGAGGGCTGTGTGAGAGCAAACAACACCCAGGATTTTTGACCTTCCTGGAAGATTTTAAATATTATATCTTGCAGTGAGAAATTTAGATTTTTTTTTAAAAAAATCTATTAAGTGAAGATTAATAAAAGTGCCACATACTGTCTCACTAAGACAAACTTTTAATTCAGTGTTCATAATTGACTCCCCCATTAGGGATGTAATCCAGGGCCTCCACAGTTTTTAGGCAAATGTTGGACCACTGAGCTATATCCCCAGCTCAATGCAATTTTAATTGTCACAATTAAATGTTATAAATGGTTACATGGCCTTGACAGTTTGCGTGTGTGTGTGTGTGTGTGTGTGTGTGTCTCGGGGTGGTGGTGGTGATAAGAAAATCATTTTTCAAGTGTGATGAACCCCAAAGGGTAATGAAGCTGAACTCTAGTCCCAGTCAGGTTCAAAGAGGTCTTGACAAAGAATTTCCTCTGGGATCAAGCGGGTTAAAACAAGAATAGGTACTAAGAAACTCAAGTCCTCCCTGCCTGTTACTTTCTAGCCTCATCTCATTCTTTTGCATCCTAAATTCAGTCCTTACATTCGCTTTTGTTAGTTCAAACAAATGCCCCCTAGGGGACATGCTCTGTAGATTAGTTCCTATTCCTAAGTCTAACACAAGGTAATAGTTCATCATAGAAAAGTTGCTAATGATGGGTCAAGTCATGCAGGGTTGAACCGAGACAGCTCTGAATGAATCCCCTCCGAGACCATGGCGTCAGTCAGTGCACAGGCTCCGGCTGTTTGGAAGACAGCGGAAGGTTAAATCTTTTCCCTCTACCACGTTGAATCTCAATCATGTCCTCTTGTTATTTTGATCCTGATGGAAGACCAGATTTATCTGCTTCTTATTTCCTACTGCAGCAGATGGGAAGTAAGTAGACGGTGCTTTTCCACTTTGGGTCAAACTAGGAACAAACCTCAGCTCCCCCTAAGCAGTGAGTTCTCTATGCAACCTCTACCCTGCTGACTCCTCTACCTCTCCAATGACTTTCTGGCCCCTTTAAGAGTTGCAGCCTGTGACAACCCTGGATATCTCGGGGAGTGGGAGACAGGATGACTGGACCAGGTCACTCAGGGAAAAGCACACAGTGTGAGAGGAGAGGAACTCTAGACATAAAGAGGCGGAGCAAAGAGCTGGGCTGCCGTTCTGCTCACACACCAAGGCTTCTCACACAGCAGAAGGAAAAGGGAGAAAGACACAGGACACACACAGGAAGAGGGAAGACGGAGCAGCTTGGCTGGGTGGATTGCTTCCTGGGATCTGTCTAAGGGTCACGTACACAGTGCTGGGCTGGACGCCCAGACCGCCTTCCTCCAGTGTGGAATGTGAAACGCAGATTAGCTAGCTCCCAGCCACTGTCCTTCCATCCCTTTATATTTATACATTTAAAAAAAAGATTTTTTTTTGTATGTGGGGGTGAACACATGCCACACTGTGTGTGGTCAGAGGACATCCTTCAGGGGTTGGTTTTCTCCTGCTATGGAGGTCCTAGAGATGAACTCAGGTCATAGGCTCGGCCACAAGCATCTTTACCTGCTAAACCATTTTGCTGGCCCTCAAGCCCCCAAAATTGTTTTTGAGTTCCATTTGAATGAGATCGCTAGAGTAGCCCTTTAGGATAGAAGTGGAGCCCCCGTTGCAACCAAGACTAGGTTCCAACTCCAGGTGTGAAATCCTGGGGCGCACCATCCGAGGCGGGACCTGCCCTCTCTCCCTCTGCCTCATCTCTCGACCGAGTCCAAACCTGACTGGTGGAGCTGAAGAAAGCCATCTTTCTCCCCAAGGCAGCTAACTCTCTTTGGACACATTTACATGAAAGCACCTCTCAGAATTCAAATCCACAGACCCCACCCTTCCGTCACAGTTTACTGAGTGGTCTCTTTCTACAGAATAGAAGCAATCCTATCCTGGCGACTTGTAGTCTAAAAATGATTCCGCCACCTTGCAGGAGACCTCCTCAGAAGTTCCAAGGATGCTTCTCCCGAGTGAACTATCTTCTTAAAAGCTTTCAAACAGGGACGTGACCAGCTCTCCTGGAAAGCACCGCCACCTAGGTGCAGAGCCTGAAGCTGGGTGTGCCAGGAAGCTTGTAAAAGAGCCCAGGGTGTGGCTATCGGAGCTGAGGGCTGAGTCTTCTATTCTGGGGCTGTTCGATGGGCAAACAGTGTGCAGCCCCAGATGGAACACTTGCGGAAGCTGTTGTTAAAGAGAGCAACTGACGGGGGGGGGGGGGGGGGGGGGGGCAACTGCCCTCTACCTGTCTCCTCCCTCCAATCCCACCCACTCCCAGCACGCATCTCTATGCATTCCGAGCTCCCTCAAAAGCCCAAACCAAGCAGGCCACACACGGCACTGTGGACAGCTGCAGACTTCAGCAACTGTGGTTCCCAGGTTTCCTTGTGACGGAGTGACGCCTTGGGGGAGGGCCCCCCCCAACTCAGCATTCATTCAGAGCAATCCAGTTATGTTACAGATCTAATGTGCTAAACTAAAACAATGGGTTTTCCTCTGTATTTCTGCAGTTGTGAGTACATATGGCTTGTGTGAGGTGGCAATATGCTAGTGATAGAAAGTGCACAGGTGTGAACTCTGGGCTCGCAGAGCGTGGAAGCAGTTAAGTGCTCGGAGACCACTGTGGTGAGAAGCTTTAGCTACAGATCTGACTTGCACCTAGTGATCAGCGTGTCTGTCTCCTGGGCACTGGTTTCAAAGAGAACTCTGCATTCTGGGTTGGAATGCAGGTTGGCTATTGTACTTCGAATTCAGTGAGCTGTGTCACAAGCCAGACTGCACTAGGTTATGTACAATTAGTGTGTACCCGAGGAGAAAAAATTGCCAGCACTACTGGATATACTGCAAAATTGCCACAATGACTGCTTAGAAATACTAATGTTCCTCTCTTCTTCCGGAAAGTGTATCTTACAACTCTCTGGTAACTTAATGCAAACAGAGCAAATTCATTTCTTCTCACATCTGAAAGCAAAGGTATCTTTGTTTACATGCGAGAATAATAAGTCTATAATAACAGTCTGGCCCTATGAGCCAGTACTTTATATCAGGACATAAGAATGAAATGATAGAGAAAGAACCAGAGAGACCTGGACACTGCTATGAATGCAAAATCCATTTGGAAGCTTTCTCTTGTAAAGGATAGCTAAGATAAGAAGTGAGGCTAGAGAAAAGACTCAGAAGACTGGGCTTCGGTTCACTAGGAGAGTAACAACAGAAACAAAGCCATTCTATTGCAAGATACAGATCAAAGGTTAAAAGGCAAATAAATGACCCTACATTTATATAAAGATGTCATCGCTTCCTGCCCCGCAGATGGCAACATGCAAGGGTGATCGAACACCATTTGCAATGGCCATAGAAAAAAAACATCATGGAAAAAAACCACTGACGGAAAAATGACTGAAGAATCCCAGTTCCCTTTTTCAACCCCATCATTTGGTATCTCTGAACGTGGTCCAGATTTAGACTTCAACCATCAAAGAACATCATGCTGTCTACAGTTCGACAGTACCTCTCAGTAGGGCGTTACTGCAAGGCTAGCTAATTTTAAATCTGGTATGAGTAATACAGTCAAACCTAGTTAGTATGCGAGAAAGTCGTTGCTAACGCAGGGTGAGAGGATGTGATGTCACAGCATGAACAGTCCCTGGTTGTCCCGTTGTCAGATAAATGTAGTGCATAGATCCAAGTTTCTATTCCAGGTCTCCGGACCCCAGGGCCAGGTCTCTCACTTTTGCTGGGTGGCCTGGAAGGCCTTCAGCTCCACCTGGTACCACTCAGGGGCTTCGGGCCCGCTCTTCCCGGGGGGGCTGTGGTCATAGCCATAGGCCACGGTCAGCTCTTCCTCAGCTTCCACAGCTCGCAGGGTGCGGATGCACTTGATGGGCCCGAAACGGGGGTGGACAAACCTGGACATCAAGATGGGAAAGGTCATTCCTGGGCCAACCCCGGACCTCAGTGGCGGAAGGGAGCCTCTCGCCCACGGACACTGGCTGGGCATTGCTCCTGTGTTCTTAGGGTGTGGGCATGCCTTCACCAGCTTCAGCAGGAGCTTCTAAGACAAGGAGTGTCTCAGCCCCAGCCCCAGACCAGCTGGGTCAGAACACTCCAGGCTGGGCATGTAGCTCGGTTGGCAGAGTGTGGACCTAGCCTGCCTGGGGTCCTGGGCTCTCTCTTCAATATTTCATAAACCAGGCATTGATGGTGCATGCCTGGAGTCCCAGCACGTAGGCGGTGGGGCAGGAGAATCAGACATCAAGGTTATCCTTGGCTTCATAATGAATTTGAGGCCAGCCTGGGATATATAACATCCTGTTTTAAAAATAAAACCCCAAATCCCACAGAATACCCCAGACAGTGCACTGGCATTTACTGTATTTGTGTGTGTGTGTGTGTGTGTGTGTGTGTGTGTGTGTGTGTGTGTGTGTGTGCTAGAGTACTTGCCTGGCATGTAGTAAGCCCTGGCTTTGATCTCTAGTCCCACAAGATCACAATTTTGTATGTATGTGTATGTGTGTATGTGTGTCTGTCTGTCTGTCTACTCACCTATACACAAGTGTGGTAGTTTGAATGAAAACAGCCCCCACCGGCTCACAAGGAGTGGTACTATTGGGAGGTGTGGCCTTGTTGGAGAAGGTGCATCACTGGGGGTGGGCTTTGGGGTTTCAGAAGCCCAAGCCAGGCCTAGTGTCTCTGTCTTCCTGCTGCCTGTGGATCTGGATGCAGAACTCCCAGCTACCTCTCCAGCACCATGTCTGCCTGCATGCTACCCCACTTCCTGCCATGATGACAATTAACTAAACCTATCTCTGAATGGTGAGCCAGCCCCAACTAAATGTTCTCCTTAGTAAGAGTTGCTGTGGTCCTGGTGTCTCTTCACAGTGACAGCAACCCTAACTAAGACAGAAGTGTATGACTGTATAGCTCTGGCTTGCCTGGAACTCACTAGGTAGACCAGGCTAGCTTTGAACTCAGAGAGATCCACCTGCCTCTGCCTCCCGAGTGCTGAGATTAAAGACCTGAGCTACAGTGCCAGGCAACTTTGTCTTTAAGTTGACACATTTCATTATAATTTGTATCATATTATTTCAATATGAAAATTAAATAATGCTCCTGAAATGGAGATTTGATTAACTTTCTAGAAGATCCACTGGGGTGGGGGAGGGGAATCTGATGTTGAATTTTTGGGCCTAAGGCTTCTTTTCCAATGTTCTGGTCGCTTTATTCCCATGTTCATTGTCAATGTCGACTTTTTATTTTGATGTTTTTGGTGTTGCTTATTTTTTAATTTAATTAATTTTTTGTTTTGTTTTGTTTTTTCAAGACAGGGTTTCTCTGTGTAATCCTGGCTGTCCTAAAACTCACTCTGTAGAACAGGCTGTCCTCAAACTCGAGGTCCGCCTGCCTCTGCTTCCCAGTGCTGGGACTAAGGAACTCGGTCTCCTCCTGCCTCAGACTTCTGGGAACTGGGGTTATAAGTGGGCACCACCACACCCAGCATCCCTTTAGTTTGAATAGACAGAATAAAAAGGAAGAACTTGGTTTCAGGTGCTAGAGCTTGGCCAGGGACTGCACTGGGCCACTCCGCCTCCAGATCCGAGACTTAACTGACCGGGAGTTCCCAGGAGAACTGAATGAGATGCACCGTGCAAAGCATCTGGAGTAGGGCTAGGGTATGTGGGCAGAGTATGAGTTAGCACGTGGGAGCTCCTGGGTTCAATCTCTACCACAAAGAAGGGAGGAATGAGGGGGGAAGGGAGAGAGGGACGCAGAGGGAATGCGCAGAGCCCATGGCTATAGAAATAGTCATGAACCCAAACCTCTGGGCCACACAGTCCTGGACCTTGGCTGACACGTTACCATATTTACAGGTAGGGAAAGTGCTCGTGTGATTGTCTCTGGGCATTTTGTGCCAGACTTCAGTGAAAGCAGCAGAGAGAAATGCTGTCTCACTTAGATTAACGCCAGTGACTTGAGGAGACACACAGATGCCCGGAATTGGAATCTGAAGTTTACATTTGGTTATTATTCAAGGAGTCATTACCCCATAGAATGGGTTTTGGCCACACTGGGTTTGCTTGCAAAACAATTATCAACAACAAAACAAAGAAAACAGCCAGGCAGTGGAGGCACACGCCTTTAATCCCAGCACTTAGGAAGCAGGATCTATGAGTTCAAGGCCAGCCTGATCTATGAATCGAGTTCCAGGACAGCCAGGGCTACACAGAGAACCCTTGTCTCAAAGCTCTCCCCCACTCCAACAAATAAACAAGGAAGCAAGCAAACAAACAAACAAAAAAACCCACCATCATCAACAACAAAACAAATACCACCAAAGAAAACAAACCAAAAAAAACAAAAATAAAACCTGCTGAGCAGAGATTGACTTTGCACAAACAGAAACTTCTCTTGTTTCCAGTTCTCTATTGCGTTTGGAGAGAAAAACTGTCCTTGTGAAGCCACAGACAGGCCTGATTCCGATGAGGGGTCTGAGTGGTATGTGGGGGCTGTTGTTATTGGGCACAGCTGGGAATGAGCTGTAGCCAAATTCACGCTAGCTAGCTGTGAAAGCCCCGAAGCTAATAACAGCGTCAGCCTCATTTCACATGACACATGTCCTTTGCCATCCCAGCCAGCCCCTTAGAAGCAGCTGGAGCACCAACACTTGTTACTGGCTGCCAAGGAGAGCTAGTCACCGCCAGGATGATTTCCAAGACATCTCAAGGACGAGTCTCAGGACATTTCCCAGCAGGCGCCAAATCCTGGCACGGTCTCACAGATGAAATGTCCAGAGCGTGATCTTGCAGAGCGGAGGGACCGCGGCTACAGCGTCAAGCCGGGAAGGGTTTGCTCTAGGGCTACACTGCCATTCCCGTTATCTGTGTGCACATGTGTGTGTGTGTGCGTGGTTATGTCTGCACCTGAGTGAGTACGCGCAAGCGTGTGCGTGTGTGAGCGCGTGCGTGTGTGTGTGTGTGTGTGTGTGTGTGTGTGTGTGTGTGTGTGTGTGTGTATGCCAGAGGGGGACAACTTCAGGTGTGGTCCTCAAACACCATCCACCCTGTTTTTTGACTGGGTCTCTCCCTGGCCTGGAACTTGCTGATGAGGCTGGCTAGCCAATGAGCCCAGGGAATCACCCTGCTTCTGCCTCCTCAGTGCTTGGAGTACCCTCTCCCATACTCAGCTTTTCATATAGGTGCCGGGTGGGGACTGCACGCAAGTCTCCACGCTTCTGTAGCAAGCCCTTGGATGACTTGACTGCTCCTTCCCTCTCTAGCCCTGCAATGTAATCTTTAAATGAGGGGGAAAAAAAAATCTAAGGGCAAGTAAGGACAGCAGTAAAACAGCCACCATATTTCTCTGATAGTTCTGCTTCTGAAATCACTTTCTTTTCGTCTCACAGCTAGAAAGCAGGCTCTTTAGATCCTGAGCCTTAAACCACAAGGCTGAGGTGCACGGCCAAGGGCCCACCTCTCCCACGCCCTCCTGGGTCCTGGAGCCCCTCGGCATAGATCCTTCCAGCCACTAGCTAGCATCCTACTCACATGTCATAGATGCAGTTTGGAGTGAAGGAGTGGTTCGCCTTGTGTCCCAGGGAGGCACAGTACTTGGATACACGGTTGTAGGGCTCAGGCACGTCAATGACGGTTTCCTCGTCCAGGGACAGAGTGTTCCCGTTGAGGGCCCAATCCCTGCTGTCAACCTGCAAAACACAGGGAAGTGGCGCTGGAGAGGGCCATTCTCCCCAAAGCTCAAGGCACAGCAGAGGCTCTACCTCGTTCATCTTAACGCTTCAGAGTCTGAGCTCTGCAGACGTGGAGGAAGCCGGCCAAGACATGTTCCCACACGAGACTGGCGTAGCCAGACAGCTCAGCTTACTGTTTATTGTATTTTCCTTGTTTTATACAGAAGAAAAGGGTTTTGATTCTTTACAAAGGTGCACAAAAATATCAGATAAACTTGAACTAAAAATAAACGAAGAAGAGGTTGTTGAGAGGGTTTTGTGGGCACAGATGCTGACTACCACGACTGAACACCTGAGGTCGGGCCACAGAAGCCACGTGCTTAGAGAGAACCTACCCCTGGAAGTTGTCCTAGGCCTGCCACTCTTGAACAATGGCACATGATCCTCCAAAGAAAAACATGTTTTTGTTTATGTTTTATTCCCTGAGATAAGGTTTCTCTGTGTACCGCTGGCTGTCCCCGAACTCACTCTGTAGACCCGGCTGGCCTTGAACTTGGGAGATTTGCCTGTCTCTGCCTCTCAAGTACTGGGACTAAGGGGTGTGCCACCGCTATCCAGCCAGCAATGTATTTTAAAAACATCTGAGCTAGAGATGGCTCAGTGGTTAAGAGCACTGGCTGTTCTTTCAGAGGACTCGAGTTCAATTCCCAGCACCCACATGGCAGCTCACAACTGTCTGTAATTCCAATTCCAGGGGATCTGACACCTTCACACCAATGCACATAAGATAAGTAGAAAAGAAAATCTATAAAAAGGCCCACACCTCCGCCCCAGTGGAGGAACCAGGGTGAGCAGGAGGCTGTCTGCAAGCCAGTGTGCTGGTCTACCTGGGCTCGAGCTCACCGCCTAACTTGGCTTCTTCAGGCTGGACACTGGGAGGCCACAGAAGAGCCTGATGGGCCCTTTTAAAAAGGGTCACGTTTCCGCAGAACTTGTAAATCTAGCAGACACGTGCAACCTTCCGACACTGCGACACAATTGACATCTACACCCCATGTTTGTGAGCCAAACCATCGAGTTTAACAACAAATCCATCTCCCTTTAAGTTTTAAGCAAACTTACAACTTTGTGTTAGGCTGTGTCTGAAGTTACCCTTGGCCCCAAGTAGCCTGTGGATCACAGGATGGACAGACACCTCTCCTGGATAAACCAACCCTTCCTCTGAGACATTGCGTTTATATGTGACAGTCAGTCAATAAACTGGGCAGTTGCCACAAGCTGCAGTATCAAACATGAGGAAGGTCCCCTTGGATCTCATTGTTCCCAACCTATCATGTAACCACGCAACACTGACAGGTTGTATGTAGTGTTGTAAATTTGCTGTAAATTACTCTTAGGTGTATAGCAGAGTCTAAACCTCCCTGGGTGCCAGGGGCCTGTGAATCATCACAGCGGCAGATGCTGGCCTTGCTTGAACTGTGCCTCCCACGGCATTTGTGACCTTGGGCAAACTGTTTAATCTCTCTAGGTTTTTGTTTTTCTCATCTGCAAAATGTTTGAATGAAGAGGCATGGGTTTAATATTTAAAACTTTTTGAGGCTGATTTATACAACTGGAAGAAGCCACACCTGACCATATGACCGGTCACGGGCAAAATGCAGACACAATAAACATATAGAATAACTGCTTCCCAGCTATATACACAAGAAACACTAAATTTCATATTTTGACTGGGGTCTCATCCCTAAGATGATTATAAAAATGCAAATATTTAAAAACCCTGGATTCCTAACATTTCTGGTCCCGGGCATTTCAGATAAGGGGGGCTCCACCTGTAATACACCCTTACCTCAAAGCCACCCGTTCCCTGCTCAGTGTCTTGGACCTTCTGGAGGCCTGGTGAAGCACAGCCATCTGTGTGGATGCCATCTGCTCCCCCTGAGCATTTTGTTGTCTTTTGCCTGCCCAGGTGCTTTGAATGTGTGACTAATGGGAACAATTTGTGGAATGTTCTCTTCTTAGCCACAGGAATAAGTGGCGGAGCAGAGACCTGAGTGTGAGGAGGCATCAGTCAGGACCTAAGCCCTGTGTGTGGACTAGAAGTGTGGCCACGATGCAGCTCAAGGACTGTGCTGGAGGCTGCAGACTTGGCCCTAAGCAGACACCAAGGAGTCAGCTGTGAGGTGGAGAAACAACCAGGGCCGTCAGCGAAGTTCTCAAACATGCCAAAGACGGTGTTTTCAAGGCAAGGGATGGTGTGTGTGTCACAAATATGTATGGGGAGGCTGGAGAACAACTTCAGTGTCCTTCCCGGCTGTTCTCCATGTTTGTTTACTGTGGTGGTATTGTGTTCCCCCAAATATTGTGCACCCTAATAAACTTATCTGGGGTCAGAGACAGAACAGCCACTAGATACAAAGGCTAGAAAATGGTGGCACTCACGCCTTTAATCCTAGCACTCCAGAGGTAGAAATCCCTCTGGATCTTTGTGAGTTCAAGGCCACATTGGAAATGGGCAGGCATGGTGACTCACACCTTTAATCCCAGGAAGCCAGCCTTTAATCCCAGGGAGTGGTGGTAGAAAGCAGAAAGATATATAAGGCGTGAGGACCAGAAACTAGAAGCATTTGGCTGGTTAAGCTTTCAGGCTTCCAGCAGCACAGTTCAGCTGAGAGTCATTCAGATATGAGGACACAGAGGCTTCCAGTCTGAGGAAACAAGATCAGCTGAGAAGTTGGCCAGGTGAGGTAGCTGTGGCCTGTTCTGTCTCTCTGACCTTCCAGTATTCACTCCAATACCTGGCCTCAGTTTGATTTTATTAATAAGAACTTTTAAGATTCCTACTACAGTTTACCTCCTTTCCTTTCTTCTTCTTCCCTCCCTTCCTTCCTTGTTTTGTTTTTTGAGACAAGGTCTTTCTGTGTATGTAGCCCTGGCTGTCCTGGAATTCTCTATGTAGACCAGGCTGGCCTGGAACTCAGAGATCTGCCTGCCTCCCCTCCTGAGTACTGGGATTAAAGGTGTGCGCCACCACAGCCAGCAAAAAGTACAGGTCACCTTTTTTTTTTTTTCCGAGACAGAGTTTCTCTGTGTGCTCCTGCCTGTCCTGGAACATCCCCCCCAGATAGGACCTTCATCTATACAGCCCGGGCTTTGCCTGGGACTCATAATTCTCCTGTCTCATCCTCATAAATGCTGGGGTTATGGAAGCACACTTCACCTGACACACCCTCACGATTCTGAGAACAGATGATGGACAGTTTGAAAAGGACTCATTTTCAGGTGTTGAGGCTCACATGGGGACACAGCCGTACAATGTCAATGACACTTGGCTCATGTGATCCTCATGCTTTGTGCTCCCAAGGCATCCACCACCATATCCTGCCTTATTAAACATTTAGCAGTTGAGTTTGGATTTTTTTTTCCACTGAAACACTTTCTAGCAAGACAGAGGCTATTGTATGACTTTTTGTTAACAGAGGCAGGGGCGTCCCTAAAAAAGCACCGTGTTGGAGGCCATTAGTTACTAAGAATCTGACTGGATCTTGGTTTCAGATGTTGGGTGTTATCTAGAGGAAATCCATGACTGTCATCATCCCACTTTCTTTCTTTCTTTTTTTTTAAAAGATGTATTTATTCATTATGTATACAGTGTTCTGCCTGCATGTATGCCTGAGCACCAGATCTCATTATGGATGGCTGTGAGCTGCCATGTGGGTGCTGGGAATGGAACTCAGGACCTCACCAAGAGCAGTCAGTGCTCTTAACCTCTGAGCTGTCTCTCTAGTCCCATCATCCCGCCTTCTAGGAAGTAGTTGTGGACCACGAGAGCGGCTTTATCTGAGCCCTTTGGTCAGTTAGGCTGGTGCTCACCTCTTCCCACTTACCTCTTGGTGTGTAACCCGGACTCCATTATAAAAAGACATAACAGTATTGGGTCCTACTGCTACCTTGGAAAATAGTCCTTCTCCGGCACTGGAGATGAGAGAGTCGGCAACATAAACTCTAAAAAAGGAACAAAGAATAATAAAATCATGAGATTTTTCAGTGTGATAGATCACTCTTGCTGCCGATCACCAAAATTCCATGATACTGAATCCCAAATGACAGTTCCCAATTAGTCAACAAAGAAGGAGGGGAGGGTGAGAAATTACACCACAATATGCTAGCAACAGTAATGGAAGAAATAGCTTTTGTCTCTTTAAGAGTAGTATTTACAATGAACTCCACCCGCCTCCTTTAGATGGGGTATCTGGCTTAGGGTATCTGCCTCAGACTTGTTCTGGAGCCAACGACAATCAGAAACTTCATTTTTTTTTTTTTTCTTTTGGACAGGGTTTCTCTGTTTAACCCTGACTGTTCTAGAACTCTCTATGTAAACTCACAGCATCTACCTCCTGCCTCTGTCTCCTGAGTGCTGGGATTAAAGGTGTGAACCACTGGGCCTGGTCATAACCACCTGGTGGTAACTAGGGACTTCTAATCCTCCTGATTCCACCTCTTGAGTGACCAGTTTTCTGTGGTGTTGGAGATCAAACCTAGGGCTTTGGGAATGCTAGGCATGCATCAACTGAGCTGCATCCCCAGGCCTCAGATGATGTCTTCTCCTGGGCTGGGGAGATGGCTGCTCTTCCAGAGGATTTGGGTTTGATTCCCAGCATCCACATGGCATCTCACAACCATTTGTAACTCTAGTTCCAGGGGTCTTAGAGCTTGGTCTCATGGAGGCTCCTTCCTTCCTCTCTGATGACTCTAGCTTGTGTCAAGTTGACACGCAAACCAGCCAGCCTAGTACTTGATAGACCTTTTTGAAAAAGAAGCTGATGTTTATAGTTAACAACAAGAAAACATTTCCCAAAATTTACCAACACAGTGCTCAAGTTTCTCAAAGCCAGGCAACAGAGGAAGACTATTCCTTAGTTAAATGCCAAGATGGACTGTTTATACAAAAAGTGACAATTAATGAGACATATCCAACAAGCGTTTCCCTACAGAGGGGTTAAAGGAGAGGTCAGCTAACTACAGGCCAAATCTGACTGCCGCTCATTTTTGTTGATAAAGTTTGATTGAGACACAGCTGCCTTCCTGAGTTGGTTTAGGACTGTGACTGCTGTAGTCAAATGTGGAGCTGAGTCTGTGCAATGGCCAACACAGGGCCTACAAGTCCCCAAGTTGTTCTTGGTGTTCTTTCACAGAAAAGGGTCCCTAAACGCTGCCTAATAAGAAAAGCACCCTCAGCTGCGGAACAGGGGTGATAAGAGCTTATGTTCCACTAACAAATCTTTGATTTCTTCATTTCTCTGTGCACTGTGATGGATGGCCCCAGTAGGAAGTGGGCATCTGTAATTTTGGCTTATTTTATGGACTGGGAAGTCTGAATGATTGCTTCCAATTCTGCTCCTTTCCTCTGACAGAATGAAACATGTCACCCTTTTGCCAGGTGACCTCGTGACACTTCCTTCCGTGCAGGTGGGGCACACATCCCCATCCTGCTGACTTCGCTAGCAGAACATGGAGGAGGCCCTGCTGGTGGGTCTCAGGTGTTAAGAGACATGGCGAGTTTTTGCCAGTCTCTTCCAGTTTCCATTGTCTCCAGGAGAAGAATATGTCCGGGAGGCTATTATTCCTTTAGTCGGAGTCTTGGAAGGAAGAGATGGGAAACAGACCTGAACTCGACTTGAATCCTGGAGCTCAGCCTAGTCCGGCTGAGCCTGGTGAAGCCCAAGTAAAGATGGCTGAACCTAAGCCAACCCACGGAACCATGAGTATAATGTAATACAAAACGCTGGCCTCTGTGAACAGCTGAGCGGTTTGAGAGTATTGGTTATGCAGGGTTTCACAACAGACTAGGCTGATAGATACAGATGGCCCTGTGGTGTTTGGGGGTGAACACAGTAGTCAGTCTACACCCACTGGCCCTGGGCCAGAACCTCTTGTCAAAAAAAGAGGACATTCTCTCCCTGCCTGTGGCACTGTGGGATCAGCACTGCTGTCCTTTAGACCAGGAAGAGGCTTGTTTCTTAGCCGGGAGCAGAAAGTAAACAAGAGGTAAGCCACGCCCCGAGGGGCTGTCCTTTCTCAGCAGACCAGCCAAAAGCGGTAAGCCACGCCCCGAGGGGCTGTCCTTTCTCAGCAGACCAGCCAAAGGCGGTAAGCCACGCCCCGAGGGGCTGTCCTTTCTCAGCAGAGCAGCGGGCGGTAGGAGAATAAGGGGAAGTCTGGGCACTGAGAGTCCACGCTAGAGGGCAGCCATCCTCCTAGGTTAGGTATAGAAAGGACAGACCTGACAGGGAGGGATGTATTTACGCCTGCCATTGCTGCCTTTGCTTCTATCCTGCCTTCCCTGAGGAGTAAAGAAGTTGCTTTATGTTCCAAGGGTCAGGCTGGAGGTATAGGCTAGATTGACAGAGCATGGATTGCTCCCCTAGAGGACTGCATCATCAAGAGCCTTGAGAGCGCCTGCTTCCAAGCCTGACCCAAGGCTGAGCCCTTCCACATGGTGGAAAGAAAGAACTGATTTCAAAAGCTGTTCTCTGATTTCTACATGCGTGCTACCCCAAGCCCCCAGAGTCCCAAGAAAGGGTGGGACTGCCTGATCCAACGCTTTACCTAGAGAGTTCATTCTAGGACAGACGAGACATGAAGCTGCTTGATAACGTGGAAACCTTCCGTGGACAGTCTCTATATAGGAATATAGTCTTCTTTAGAATGCACAAATACTTACTAGGAAGTGTGCCAAGGAAAAGTACTCATGGAGGGGCTTGGCGTGAGCAGGAGCCCAGCCTGAGCAGAGAGCCACAGAAGCTCAAGGGTGCCCACCACCAGGGCATAGACAGAGCAATGAAAGCCACAAGGAAAGAGTTACCTCTCGGACTCATAAGGGTCTGGAAGGAGGGCATCACTAGAGATGCAGGAGGACGTCGATTTATCAAAGTGGTACACGGAACCTAGAAGGCAAACCGACAGTCAGTTCAGGTGGCGAGCCCGGCAGGACATGCAGATGTGGCCCCCCAGTCACAGGACGAACCAAACAATCACACAGGCCACCCTGGTCATGCCAGCTAGAATAGCCAAGTGGGCATCTGTCAGGTTTACTCTTCGGTTATGTTTTCCAATCTTGTCCTCTTTTTCCTTTTCCTTTGTGAGATAGGACCTTACCAAATTGCCCAGCCTGGCTTTGTACTTGAGATTCTGTAGCTGGAGGTTTTCCTGTGCTCACCTGGCATCAAGGACCCCACAACCGCTTATGAAATAATCACTCAGAAACTTATGTTAATTAAAACTGCCTGGCCATTAGCTCAGGCTTACTACTGACTAGCTCTTAAACTCAGCCCATTTCTGTTAATCTATATGTTGCCATGTGTTCCATAGCTTTACCTGTATGTCATTACATGCTGCTCCCTGGACATTGGGCTGGCATCTCCTGACTCAGTCTTTCAGCCTTCCCACAATTCTTGTTTGCTGCCTGGCTACTGGCCAATCAGCAGCACATTCACAGCATACAGACCATCCCACAGCAAGATCCCCTTGCCTCAAGCTTCTGAGTCTGGTGTTACAGACCTATACTTACCAGGCCTGATTTATTTAAGTCTTAATGCACAGCCATCAGACTTAACTCTTAAGATTCCTATTTGTTGATTTTCCTTTATTCAAATGTCTTAAAATCTGCTTGTGTGCTTAAAACTTTAAGCAAAACACGTTGCAGAATTTTTGGATTTCTCTGATCAGAGTAAATTGGATATTGGTTTTTAAATTTCTTTGAGGTTTTCTTCACACCAGACAGTCTGTAAAATGTATAGCAGAGGCCAGCAGTTGACTTCCTCACTGAGAGTAAACTCAACCTCCCAGAATTATGGAGAACAACAATGCTCTGCATGAAGACTCACTTGACTTCTAGCATGGTGGCTCAGATTACCGATTGGTAATCAGTCCCGAAAATAAGGTATGCAACTGTCCTAGAATTACTGTTGGCTTTCTGTTGACCTTGGCGAATCTTCAAGGGCACAAGGTATGTTGGACTCTCCAAGTGTTCATAAACAAAGAAGCAAGATTTGGACCCAGAGCATGAACTCCTACAAAGCCAATCATTTTTAGCACTAACATCAATAACAATCCCATCAATCGGTTCTTCAGTAGTTACCATGGTTACTGGCCCCTTTCCTGTTTTTTAAAATATAACGTAAACCTAAATGAATGTCACAGACCTAAGCTAGACTATGATCCAAATCAGTCTGTAACTGCCTAGGAAACAGACTACTTAAGTATTTAAAAAAGAGAACATTCAGCTGAGGGGCTTGGTTATACAGGAGACAGAAGAGCGGTGAAGCCAAGCAGGGAGCCAGCAGGAATCTCGAAGTGGGCATGAGCAGGAAGCCTCCACCGACCTACTAAGCTGGGGACGGGAGAGGAGGTGGTGGTGTGTTCTTTCCAGGTTCCATCCACATCTGTGGCCAGCAGCCTCTCCAGGGCTTAAACTCAGCAGTCAGATACTCAGGAGCCTGGGGACAGGAGCAGCTGCCTGGCAGAGGACTACAGGGATAATGTGATGGCTATTCTTGGTTGTCAACTCGACTGCATCTGGAATTAACTAAAACCCAAGTGGCTAGGTGCACCTGTGAGGGATTTCTCTCTCTCTCTCTCTCTCTCTCTCTCTCTCTCTCTCTCTCTCTCTCTCTCTCTCTCTTCCTTCCTTTCTTTTGAGACAGGGTTTTTCTGTGTGTAGCCTTGGCTGTCCTGGATCTCTCTCTGTGGACCAGGCTGGCCTCAGACTCAGAGATCTGCCCACCTCTGCCTCTCGAGTGGGATTAAAGGCATGTGCCACTACAGCTCAGCCACCTTGTTTTTTTTTGAGACAGGGTCTCTCTCTGTCTGCACCTCTCCAGTGCCATGCAGCTTTTGTACTTAGGTTCTAGAGATTGAACTCTGGTCTTTAGGCTTAGGTGGTAAGAAGCATTTTAACAACTGAACCATCTCCCTAGGTTCTGAAATAATAGTGAATATACAGAAAAGTACAAAGAAAGAAAGACTCCTCCCACTGTTTCTTCTAACATTAACTTTTAAAAAGGGTTTTACATTTAGTGTGTGTGTGTGTGTGTGTGTGTGTGTGTGTGTGTGTGAGAGTGTGTGTGTGAGTGAGTGAGTGAGTGAGAGAGAGAGAGAGAGAGAGATGCATGTGTGAGGTCAGAGGACAAATTTCAGGAGTTGACTCTCTTCATTCACCATGTGGGTCCCTGAGATTGAACTCAGGTCATCGGCCTTTGAAGGCAGCTCCTACAGCCGCAGAGCCATCTCCGACTTAATCAGCTGTACAGTTTATTTGGGTTTTTGGCAAAAATGGGCTGACACTCCATTAAAGTGGGCTCCCCAGAGAAGAAAAGAAACCTCTTTGTAGGGCAATGGTGGTGCACACCTTTAATCCCAGCACTTGGCAGGTGAGGCAGGAGGATCTCTGTGAGTTCGAGGCCAGCCTGGTCTACTTAGTGAGTTCCAGGACACACAGAGAACCTTTGTCTCAAAAAACCAAAACCAAAACACCCCCAAAACCTCTTCAACCTGTCACCCACTGGACAACTCACTTCCAGACGTCAGTTCAAAGTGTGGCCTCCCTTCTTCGGTGGCCGTGAGGATGGCCAGTTTCCCTTCAAGCATCTCCCCATCGATGAACTTTCCATAGAGCGCGGTCCTCTGGTCAGGGTAGACGTAGGCTATCTTCTCTCCAGTCATCTCTCCGTCTTCGTTGACTTCCCCGACGAGGCTACCTCCATCCTGGAAGGAGAAACCCAAACCCAGAGGTTTTATATAAAGTAGTCGTGGATAGGGTGTGAGTTCAGGAAGTTCGTCCTCGGCAACCCCCACTGTGAAGAGCACCAACAATAACAATAGCAGTTTAAGAATCTGGAGCTTTTCACAGGAGTGAGAGTTCTTCATGCCCCTGCAGGCAGCTCCTCCACCACACACACAAATACACTTCTGGAATGTTCTATGCACAGGGACAGGTATGCCTCATTTAGAGCAGGAGACTGGAGTGCACTTGGCAATCCTGAAGTAGTGACTGGCCCTCTAGCTTGGTGTATTATCTAAGAAACAAACACATCACACTCAGAACAGACTTGCAGACATTTAAGGGAAATATAATTAAGCACACACCTGTAATATATTAAGGGAAATAGATTACAGCATAAATATATTACAGTACACATCTGTAATCTTAGCACTATGGAGGCAGAGACAGGCAGATCTCTGATCTCTGTGAGTTTGAGGCCAGCCTGATCTATCCAGGCCAGCCAGCACTCCATAGAGAGACCCTGTCTCAAAGCAAACAAACAAACTTCACTGAAAATGAACGCCCCCCTTTTTTCCCTTTCTGTAGCACTGGGGTGAACCCAGAGCCCAGGACCTCGTGGGATTGTACATGGTGAACACTCCACCCCTGAGCTAAATCTCCATGCCTTTAAACATGCTTAAGAATTCATTTGGTCTACCCGAGTGGAAATAGAATTGCCTGTATCTTCTAAGCGATAAGCAGCAGACCTTGTCTCTTCCACAGCACTTCTTTCTTTCATTCTTCATTTGTGGCTCCCCTGCCTTCCCGCAAGAGAAGGGCCAGCTTTGCTTCATTCCATAGGACAAATGTTAGAGCAATTCCATGTCCTGCTAAGTGCCAGGGTCACAGTCGGTAACTGACAAATACCTGATTTTTTTTTTTTTTAAACTTTCTGTGTATGTTCCTGTATGTGTGCATGGGTAAGCATGCACTGTGGTGCATGTGTGGAGGTCAGAGGACAACTTGCAGAAGTCCCCCACCACGTGGATCCCAGGGGGCCCATCATATCGCCAGGCTTAGCGGCAGACGCCTTTACTCACGAAACCATCTCACTGAGACTTGTTAGTTGAACTAGGCCACAACAGCATTATGGCTAATTTAATTTAGGGTGCAAAAGATGGGGCCCTCCCCTGGGAGTCCTAACTGCATAACTTACCAATCTGAGTCCTTTGTAAGCTTGCTGAACAATTTGATACTATGGCACCTCAGACAGCTTGGTTAATGACCTCAGCTCGAGTATCTGGGAACGGCTACTCAAAGCTGCAATGTGGGGTGATCCTCTGTGTCGCTTACTGAGACAGGAATAAGTGACATTATGTACACTCTTGGTTATTGATAAGACCAGGGAACAAAATGTAGCTATAGTGGCTGATAGGTCGCCCATGCTCCAGTGGCTGGCCCCTACCCATGTACCTGCAGAAGTACTAATGGGACTCAAGGGATTATAAAAAAAAAAAAGTGAGAAAAGAACATGATGGTGGGAGCTGACATGTTGGGGGTGTCTGGTGGGGTTGGGGAGCGGAGTTGGGGGTGCATATGATGAAGACATGTTGTATACATGTGTACGAAATTGTCAAAGAACACACGAAATATTCTCTAAAGATGTCACTGCATACATAGGTTTCAAAACTTGACTCCACTCAGCGAGATGAATGCAGGAAATGGTCTCAGTGTACCATCGATCTCATCACGGGACCTCAGTTGATCCTAGTCAGTAGCAAAGTGACAGGGAGTGGGAGTCTCCGGGAATTCCTGTTTCGTCTCTCTCCCATCCTCTTCCTACACAGGGCTCCACTCATCCTTCTGACGAGTCTCTCTCAAATGTCAGTGGTGCCCCAGCACAGGCATCGTGGGGCTCAGCCTGGCCACTCGGAAAGCCCACTCCCAGCCTTCTGGACCTGTAGGTACCTTGGCACCTGTCCATCTGCTTGTCTGCTTCTACCTGGACAGTCACCTAAATGATGTCTGATGGGTCAGAGCTGACCAAGAGGATACCTAAATGTTTGGGCAAGTCTTAGACAAAGATTAACCACATTCTTTCCTTAAGAGTACAGTTTCTGGGTTGGGGATTTAACTCAGTGGTAGAGCGCTTGCCTAGCAAGTAGGAGGCCCTGGGTTCGATCCTCAGCTCAAAAAA